ARGGRAAWYMGCATGGAAATGGAAGGCGATCCYCAGGGTTATACAAAATGACATATAAGAGGAAAGGAGGGGTAAGACAAGATAATACAAATGGAAGAAATGATTTACAGTAGAAGGGGTAGAGAGAGAAAAGGGGAGGGGAGGGGAGGGGAGGGGGGATAGTAGAGAATAGGACAGACAGTAGAATACATCAGACACTAGAAAGGCAATTTGTCAATCAATGGAAGGGTAACTGATGTGATACAGCAATCTTTATACGGGGTAAAATTGGGAGTTCATAACCCACTTGAATCAAACTGTGAAATATGATGTATTAAGAACTATGTAATGTTTTGAACGACCAACAATAAAAAAAAATAAAAATAAAATAAAATAAAAATTAAAAAAAAAAAAAGACGAGGAACTGCCGCTGGCTCAGCGTTACTACCACCTCCCTCTATAACACTATTGGTGCTGTCTTTTTAGACGTCGGCATCCGTTTCGGATGTGTAGACACTGGAAAGTGCCCTGGAGAGAAGGGTGACCGTGGTCAGAAGCCACCCTAGCCTGGATCTTTGAGAGCAGAGYGGAGGCAAAGGCTTAGATGCGTCTGCTTCGCTATGGAGTGCAGTCGCCGGCACCAGAGGGAGGGGCAGGCGCACAGCGCACAGGGAAGGCSGCACAGCCAACAGCACCGAGCTGACCTTGGCTTGGGCTCAAGCACAGCCAGAGGCTTTGTCTTTGGGGACTGTCCTCTAAGAGACTCTAAGAGAACGTTTTACGCATGACTCAGGAAGGTCTAGTCAGGGAAAATGGGGAAGACTCTCAGTTCCCTCTTCCCATTCAAAGGCTAGCCCTTTCCATCTGAGCAGGTTGCTCACCCACAGCTGATCCCATAGCCTCCCTGACCTAAGCAGCCTACAGGGACACCCTGGGTGGAAGTGGAAGGTGTGAGGATCTAAGCGCAAGGCACTGGAATAAGGAACCCTCCCGGGGAAGAGGTGTTTCTGGAGAAGGGTCAGAGAAGTTTCCGGAGAGAAGGGAGAGCTCTAACAGAAAAAGAATCTCAGTTCACTGGCATAGAGAGACAGCTTTAGAGGCAAAGCAAGGTACACGTATTGAAGAGTGAGAGATGCCTTCGGGAGTTCCGGGCTCTTCTTTTAAAGGCATCTTGGTGAGGGATGGGTGTGGGGAGGTATGTGGGATTGATATCTGCTGGTGATCTCAAGACAGTTTCTGGTGGTCTGGTCAATCTTCTTAGACTGATGTGGGCTTCATTATCCTGGGTAGATACGGCTGTTTCCCTAAATTATAGAATTCTCAAAATATCATTTCTTTTACATAATTTACTGGGGATGGTTAATTCACAGTACTCAGGTAGATTTACACATTTTCCAGGAATTTGGGATAAAGGACCTGGGAAAGATACTGGTGACACAGGCTTGGGAAAGTTTACAGAATTTCTAAATTAAAATCTTCTTTCTTTATCTTCCTTTATGTCTCCTTTCTACCTATTTCTTATTTCTTCCATCCTATCCCAGAGCAGCTGTTAGTCCAGATGTCCCCATCCTGAGTCGCAAGAGGACCGCAACTGCACACCTGAAGTTGGCCATGGCCCATGTGCAGCTGTCCACTGCAGGAGCCACTGGAGTATAGCAGGTGGCCAGAGACGGGAGGACAAAGGCAGGTGAAACTGAAAGGATCTAAAGCAACACAACATAAGAATCGACTGATACAGAGGCCCATAAAGCGGACTCAGAAAATCAGCTTATGATGTACGGAAGAGAGATCCACAGATTCCTTTAGGCATGTAAAATTACATGGGGCCAGAGGCTAACATGCTGTGCTACTGAGGAGTACTAAGAAGCCTTTCCATCCCAGGCTGCTTGTCACAATAAGTCCTCAACACCCTTGTCCCTCCTTAACTGTTTTTCCAGCTGAAAAATGGCACCAGAAAGTGCCTGGGTCCAAGGACAGAAGGGCTGAGGGTGGCTTATGTAACAGGGATCACAGTCTCATGTAACAAGTGATATGGGGTAAGGGACGGCTGGGCTGGATCAGCAGCTCAAAAAGTCATGGCTTTCATCAGAAGCTCAGGTTTTGGACTTCCCTCATCATCACAAGATGGCTGGTGCTTCTCCAAGGATGGGTCCTCAGAGCATGTGAGAGTGGAGAAAGAAGGCAGAAGTTGCCTTTCTGCTGTGCCCACTCTCAGTCTCCATTTCCTCCCACTCCCACCATCCCCAGTAGATGGCATTTACCAGAATGCTCCAATCCCCTCCGTACTATGTTTGTCTTATCTTCTCAATTACTGGTCACAGCGATGAGATCAATGAGATCTGGTGGTACCTTAAACAACTGTGATTAATTCCTACAGCAGGAAATATGGCTACTGAAACACAGCTGGGCTTCTGAAAGCAGGGTGGGGCAAAAAGAGACATCAGTTGCTGGGTCGCCCACCAAAGCTGATTTGCACATGCAGGTCTGGCCGTCAGGCGGCAGCTATTCACTGGAGTGCATCTGACAGGAGCTGGGCAGAGTCTAGGCACAGGGTGGTGCCATTCCATCCGGACAGAAGATGAGGGCTAACCCCAGAAGCTGTGTTGCTGACTTGGCTCCCTCTGGAGACCTGCTTCAGAGCGTCTCCTCTGCTTCCCACCCCCCCTTCCCCCACTGCAGCCCTTGGTATGTTTTCAGCTAATCTGTTTCCCAGCAGGGATCCTAGCTCTGCAAGCCCATGGCCAGGGGACTTCAAGTCTCCTGCTTAAAATTCTTTTATTTTCTCTGTCTTCTATTCTGTATCATTGGTCTACCAGTCTATTTTAGTGCCAATACCATGCTGTTTTGTTACCATTGCTCTGTAGTATAGTTTAAGGTCTGATATAGTGATGCCACCTGCTTCACTCTTCTTGCTAAGGATTGCTTTAGCTATTCTGGGTCTCTTATTTTTCCAGATGAATTTCATGAGTGCTTTTTCTGTTTCTATGAGTAATGTCATTGGGATTTTTATTGAAATTGCATTCAATCTTTATAATGCTTTTGGTGGTATGGTCATTTTGATAATATTAATTCTGCCTATCCAAGAACAAGGTAGGTCTTTCCATATTTCCATCTTCTAAGGTGTTCTTTAATTTTTTTCTTTAGCATTCTATAGTTTCTGTTGTAGAGGTCTTTCACCTCTTTTGTTAGGTTGATTCCCAGTTTTATTTTATTTTTTAGGCTATGATTAAATATATAGTTTTCCTTATTTCCCTTTCAGAGGATTTGTCACTGGTATACAGAAATGCCTTTGATTTATGGGTGTTGATTTTGTATCCTGTTACTTTGCTGAATTCATCTACTAGATCTACAAATTTTCTGGTGGAATTTTTTGGGGTCTTCTAGATATAGAATCATATTGTTGGCAAATTATTGTTATCTTATATTAGACAAGGGCGCCAAAAATACATTGGAGAAAAGATAGCCTCTTCAACAAATGGTGCTGGGAAAACTGGAAATCCATATGCAACAAAATGAAACTAAACCCCTATCTCTCACCATGCACAAAACTCAACACAAAGTGGATCAAGGACCTAGGAATTAAATAAGAGACCCTGCATCTAATAGAAGAAAAAGTAGGCCCAAATTTCCATCACATCAGATTAGGCCCCTACTGCCTTAATAAGACTCCTATAGCACAAGAATTAAAATCAAGAAATAATCCTTTCATTTTCTGATATTGAGCATTTCCAACTTTTGCTCTGGTTCTTTCTCCAGCTGGAAGCTGACTCTAGCTGTTGGGGCCAGCCTGAGGGAGAAGGGAGAAGCAGAGCATGGAGATCTGCAGGTGAGGGAGTAGAATCACTAGTGACCACTTGTAAACACTGTCCCCCTGAGGGTGACTGAAGATTTTCCCTTCTGTCTGGCCACCCACTGACTGGTTCCAAGATATGCCTTATGTAACTTTTTTGGTATTTTTCTTTAATTTTACCAATCATTGAAAGTCGGTCAAATTCGATCAACAATATCAGATTTTTAGTTTTGCTTGAGCTTGTAAAAATCAGAGGTCTGGTGACACTGCCTGCCTGCCTGCATGGTGGCAGCTACTAGTGTACCCCAGCATGGCCAATTTAGCTAGTGTTCCCTCCCCGGGACCCCGTGGAGCCCCACTCACAGCATAGGTATATGAACTTGTAACCCCCAGGCTTCTGTTCTAACACACTTACCTTTGGGGGGGGGGGGAATTTATTTATTTATTTATGCTGAATGC